GGTTTTTCTGGTTTTCCACCACACACGAATAATTTGAGAAATTCACCAACGTCAGCTTCGTTCAACGGCTTCAAACTACCTGACCTCTCGCAATTCATTGGCTAAATCGAAAGAGACGGGAAGACTTAAAATTCATAACTCTTTGTTTACGGATTATTATATTGTACGCAGGAAACACACTGCCTTTACTTCGAGAGACTGTATGACAAACACGATCAAAATATTTCATAACCGATCGTACTCAAGCTCAATATCATAAAGAGAAACAAATACAATAACGAATAAACAAGGCGAGATAGTGAATATGTTTTGAATATACGCAAGAAATACTTAACAGAATATAAAAGGAAGAGTACCTGTCGGCATGTAAATATAGATGATAAGGCGCAAGTATTTAATTCATGGAAGAAGAACGAGATCACATCGTCAAAAAATAAAAGAGAGCAAGAAGACACGCGAATGAAGACTTCTTTAAAGAAGTTCTCCAGCTTAATAAAGTGGAGAAAAGTCATGTGACTTTTCTTATCTTAACACGAAAGTATAAAGGATGCAAAATGCCACTATTTTTTTTTAAATAAATAATGAATAAAATTTAAGCAATAAAACTGTAATGTGTTATTAAAATATATTTTCTCTATAATATAAAGATTTATGTGGAAAATATTGAAGAAAAATTGTTTATAGTAATTATTTAAATTTAATTTAAATATTAATTATTCTGATGGAAACGGTATACGATATTGTCATTTTCATTAGTGTGACGTCGTATTTAAAGAGAATTGATGAATATTTCATACTCTTACTCGAAAATGATATGGTGAAACTTCATTTTAATTTCAAGATGTTCTTTAAATTCCATTCTTTTATATCTATATAAGTCTTCAAAATCCTTATACTTTGTTTACAATTAAAATTCAGAAATGCCTACATATCATAAACTTATTCTCAATATTTGATCAAATCTTATTATGTAAAAAGGCTGGAGAACCTTTTTAAATTAGGAAATAGTGATGGTTTTAAGACAACATTGAATCATTTTAATTATAACAAAAATTGCAAATCATTTTGAATATCATTCGAAATAGAAAAACTGCGGGTCTTGAATGTATAGAAAATTTCTCTTAAATGTTTTCAAAATGTATTTTTTCATAGTTTACATTATTGTTTCATTCGTCTATATACATTCGTCTAGAACTAAGTAAATATTTTTGTTAATTTTTATTATAATATTTTGATATTCACAAGAGACAAATTTTCTAAACACTTAAGAGTTAAAAAGTTTCAAGACACTGAAATCTTCTAAGATTTTTTTAAGACTTCCCTGTTTTGAATAATATTCGAAAGACAATTTGCATCTTTACGTAATTGGATTATTTCATATCTTAAAAAAAAAGGATTAGAATATCTAAATCGTTATTAGCAATGAAATGCGCATACAAGAAAAACTTGTAATGGATTGTCGAGTTGCACATTATGATGATATTACGTTACCAGAAATTAAAAAGAGTGATTATCAAGAATGATTATGAAGCATGTCAAAATGGACATACAATATTATGTGTTGTGTGCTGATACGAGTCACGTATCGATATATTTGAATGATGGACGGTATCGGTTTGGAAAAAATGCAAATACAATGTTCGTTATGAACTTGTCTTTCTTTCTCTCGTTTTACACCGCTATCTACTTTTGTATTATAATAACATGTATAATGTTAATAAATGTTAATATTTCTTTTTTTATTTATTGTTTTTTTTTCATAATATAAATAGCAATCCTACCCCGCGTGCCTCCACGAGCTCTAGAATTGGTCCTCTCACTTTTAGTTTTGGAAATAAAGGCCACAGTGAACGAGGGTGTGAACGATCTCTTTCTAAAAAGACGAGTTATTTACAAAAATTTCCGACGGCCCAAATAACAAATTCGACGCGTTTTATTTGCAGATTATTCATCCAATTTAATTTGAGATATCTGCTTTTAGGCTTTCGGAAAACTTATGAAGATTTTTTTATCTCTCTCTGAGGTTCAAGTTTAACTGGCAGGAACTTCTTGTTTGTTATTAATAACGGCGGTATTTTCTTGTATTGCAGGAGTCTGTTCTATGCAGCGCCATAATCCGTAGGTTTTTCCGACTATAGTTTGCCATAATCTCAAAGTACCATCTTCGGATCCACTAGCATACAATTCACCATCTGGTGAAAAGCGTACGCAATGTACGGGTCCAAAGTGTCCCTTAAACGATTCTGCAAATTTTATATACAGGATTAACTTTTGATCAAAATTACAGAATCATGAAGGATGAATTTTTACCTAGTTCCGCCCCTGTATTGTAATCAAACTTGTACATTTTAAAGTCTTCTCCACCACAAACAAAAATAGTACAATCCGGATGCAGGCTGGCACTATTAACTTGAGTCGGGACCATAAATTCTTTTATCTTGGTTAATCTGACAAAAAATTGAAAATAACATTAATCTTCTTTATCTTATTAAAAAATTAAAAAAATAAAAAATTTTTTAATATGATTTTAATATGTAATATTTTTATGTGAGATGCTGAATAATTTAACAAGAAGGCTTTCATAAATTGCAACTATAATGAAATTAAAGAAAAACTGAAATTCTAGGATAGTTTTCCAAAGAATTTTTATAACACTTTTTAAAAGAGAAAAAAATATTACATACTCTTTGCTGTTCCAAAAGGTAACAATGTTAGAATGAGTAGTGGTAATGATGTTTCCATCTTTTGATACTTCCATGGAACTAGGAATCGCTGGAAAATCTAATCTCTTAACCTCTTGCCCACTATTTCTATCCCATACCCTCAGTGTCTTATCATCTGCACAGGTAATTAAGGCAGAGTTATTGTCAAAGAAAGTGACATGCCTAATACCACTTGCATGACCTGAGAAGATCTGAGAGAGAGAGAGAGAGAGAAAAATTGAAACGTTTTAAATTAATCTAAATATTTACTATTAATCGTGTTTGATCATTACTAATTTACATCTATACATAATTTTACCTGTGGAGCTGCTTCTGGTTTATTAAGATCATAAATGCGTACAAGTTTTTCATTAGAACCAGTACAAAGATGATTAGAATCGGTACTAAAGTTGACAGATTTAACTATATGATTGTGTTGAAAAGAATGAACTTCTTCTCCTTTAATCGCATCCCAGACTTTAGCATTAAAATCTGCTGCGCCGGTTGCAGCTCGAGTAGCCTGTGGATTTAATGCTACACCCCACACTGCTCCTTTATGTCCTTCAAATGTACCAATCCAATCTCCAGTGTCACCTTGTCGTAACATAGGTTTGCCATCTAAAAAACCATTGTTCCAAAATATTTTACTATATAAAAAAATGATGTTATTTCCAATAACAAATATATATATTTTGAAACAAATACATATGAAAAGATATTTAAATTCTATTTCCAAGTAATTCCAAAAATATAATCGATAATGCATTGAAATTTAAAGAATAAAAATGTTTTACATTAGATATATCATAATATAATAATACACGTTTCAAAAGTATAATAATCTATTTATTTAACATAAAATATATATTCTATAAAATATTTGTAGAAAAAAGTTAAAAGCTTAGAAAGAATTAAAATTGCTTATCATTTTGTACAAAATTTGTTATGCATTGAATATGACTATTCCTTTCATAGAACAACTGCGTATATAACTGTATATATAATATTCAATGTTAATACATATAGAAAAAAACATTACAATTTTACAATAAGCATTACAATTTTTCAATTAATCTCAACCAAGATGAATCAGCAATATAAATAATTCATCAAACGATTATGTTTATAGTAACGTTATCCATTTCTACCACTATATAGATTAACTTTAATTTTAGTTTAATTTACTCTCTATCTCTTTCCAATTTTTAAAACTAGAAAAAAACAAAAAGTAAGTTGAATTAAGATTAGATTAATCAACATTTTTATTATTAATAAAGATTTACTTTAATCTCGATTAAATTTATTTTTTATCTTATTCTAAACCTAAGAATTAGAAAAAAAAATAGACAATAAATTAATGATTAAAGTATCACATAGAGCCCGTTAATCCTGTTCAAATTGTCCCTTTGAAATGTCGAGCTGCCTTCACAAACAGGCAGGAAGAGATAGCGCGCCCGTCAAGAACATGCGCGTCTAACCTCGAAAAAACACAGAGCCTTGAGAGCGACCGGAAAGAATCGGGCCAAGGCGATCGAGAATCGAACGTGCGGTTTGAACGATCAAGATCCAAGAGGAAAGAGAGAAAGAAAAAATCGGAGCAACATGACGACACTGACAACAGTCAGCCGACCTATCCAGACCTCGCTTTGTTCGCAGAACAAAGCAGAACAAACGTTACCTTTGCACGCTGAGATGAGATAGTACCCGGATTCAGTGACGTCGGAGAAGGCGAGATGGACCACGGGTCTCGTGTGTCCACTGCACGTCAACGGGGTCTGCCTTAAACTAGCCATCGCGCCGTTCGTCGCGTCGCCGTCGCCGTTTCCCGTTTTCCTTCCTGCCTTCTTTCCCTGCGACGAGCAAACGAACGGTAGCTCGCTACCGCGACTTCCAGTGCCTCCACGTGCGCTCGTCTGGGCTTCAGGCCACTCGGCGTACCGTCACTACCGTTCACGTCCGTCACGTCAAGCGTACGAAACACGACTGACTGAAACTGAAACACGAACTGACACGGTCGTCGGTCCGGTCGGCCGGGTCGGCGGCGCCGTGGCGTGCAGAGGCTGGAACACAGTATAGGTAGTGACGTACCGATCGCCATGTACCGGCAATTAAACCCCGAGACCCGAGACAGGTCACAGGAAGAACGTCGCACGCGCGCGCGGCCTCGTCCAACCTTGTCGCCGCGTCCTCGTCTCCCTTTTTCTCCCATGTCGCGTCCCACAATATTACTCTCTGTCTTTCGAAACCGCGATCGTTATTTACACGAACGGGTGTAGCATAAATCTGCTCCAACTTTGCAAATTTATATGTACGTACTCCGGCCACTCCGAAAGATTTAGAGTTGACTCGGATTAAAATTTCTGGAAGGCGTCTACTTCGTACGAATTTTAATATTTATCTCAACAAATAAAAATATGTATAATATATAAATAAGATGTAAAATTGAAAAAATGAATTTTGAAATATGTGACTTTTATTTTTGCGTGACAAATAAATAGTTTAAAGCGATTTACTTCGAACGTGTGATAAATCTTTATCGATTTTAGATTTAAACAGAATATTATTGTTTGTCGCACGTCACAGGAAACGTGTTGAAATAGCATGTTGAAGTTTATATATATATATATTTAAATTGTCAATGCACGAGAAAGAGAGCGGAAATCTTAATGTTATAAGTACATGTAATAATACATTGTATGTACACTACTTTATAACGATAGCATTCAAAGCTGTTTAAAGTTTAAACGTTTTATGTACTTATCTCAAATATAATAAAAAAATCAGAAAATAGGAATTTGATGCGACCGAGTAACGAAAAATTATCCGCGAGAATGTTTCCTTTCCAATTGATTATGTTTTCCGATGGAAATGTACTTGTATAGCACAGGAGCTTTCAACAATATTACTACAATATTTGCAATATTATTATAATGTTTCAATGTGACCGAAATATTATTGGAATGAAATATGCTATATAGATATACTATTTAAGAAAAAAAAAAGGAAAAGTGGAAAAATAAACGTCAAGACTTAAACATATCTGAGCGAACTCAAAATCTTTTTTTAATCTTTACTTATAATATTAGTATATATATGATAATTATATATGTATACATATAATTACGTATAATAAAAGAATATATTTATTATATGTAATTATATGTACACATATATATAAAGAAGATATAAAGTTCATTTATATATAATTATTTTATTTAATGTTTAATTATTTATAAATTATTTTATTTTGCCTCTAACTATCTTTCTGTTATCGATACGCATTTTATATTATCGGAATGCTTTGCCTTGGCCCTGTAAGTCGTTTCTTTTAAATCCTTCTTGAATCATGACCATGAATTAAAACAAGCTCTCCCTCCCCTCTTCTCCTGTAAATAACCTTAGTGTATCATAGAATGCTCGTTTTTGCAGCGTGCACTGACTATCAATCAATCGATATTCGAAGGATATTAGGAAATCGAAAAAAATTTCAATGATTGCAACGCATTAATTTATCCGAGAATAATCACTGTATCAATGATTGGCATTGCTCCGGTTATATATATATATTATGCAAGACTTGTGCAATAAAAAAATAAGAAATAAGTATAAAATATAGTAAAACGTAAAAAAAAATTTTTTTCTATTTTCATAATATTTCTTATAAATAATAAAGCATTTTGTGACGTCTAAACGTAACAATAGAAATTTAAAGTTTGTCGGTCAATTAGTATAATTTCTCAAAAAACATTAATAAAAAAAATTAAAAACTGGATCAAATAAGAATTATACAATTATACATATAATTACAATAATTTTTATCATAAAATATATATATATCTTTATGTATATATTTCTAAATCTCATTACCTTATATGTATAAAATAATACATAAATTATATATAAGTATATTATAAAGAATATTTCAGGCTTTTAATGAAAATCGCATGTGTGAGCCGAAATAGCTCAGTTGGGAGAGCGTTAGACTGAAGATCTAAATGTCCCCGGTTCAATCCCGGGTTTCGGCAGTCACGATTTTTTTTTATTTAATACTGAAAAATATAAAAAAGAAATAATTGTTAACAATAGATAATAACAGATGTGAACGAAAATATATATTATAAATAAATGTTTAACACTTTAACATGGTACAATCATGTATTCTCTTTTTCATCCTTCTGTATTCCATTTTAATACTTTTAGAATTCCAGCTACTAGATATCGAGATATAACTGTAGTATTTTAAACATTCTGTAGATCAATTTTTAATTGAAGAGCACATTGCAATAATACGATCCAATCTCATCCCCTTAAAGATGTATGTGCTACATCTAAAAACAGTACCAAAGATACAAAAACATGATTGTTCTATTATTACTTTTGAATATCTGTGTAAAATTTAAACATAATTCTCTTAGGATCGATTGATTCATTTTTCGGTAAATTTTACGCATTAGGTAAATTGCCAGATTCGCACATGTAATTGAATAATCTTGCTATTTACACGTAAATTTACCGAGAGATGAAACAACCGTTCCTTATTGATTTAAAAGTTATTTAATTTTTTTTGTTTATCTTGATTCTTATATGAAATTGCATTTTGTAATACTTATTTAAAAATTTGGTGAGGAATATATTAAGAATTAAATCAAATTATATATAATACGTAAATAAATATAATACATATTTTTTATCAGTGTATATATGTATATATATATATAATATATATATACTGATAAAAAATAATAAATATTTATACAAAAGTTTAATTGGATCCGCTTACTTATTTAATAGTTATTGACCTAAAATTGCAGAAAAATATAATCATTTTGCTATAAGATCAATTATAAGATTATTACAATAAATTTTATAACAAATATTGGTTGTTTTATTTTTTGCAATTGATTTTAGGACGTATTCACAGGCTATATCATCAACATTTTTTGATATTGGCTGATTAAACGTTATTTTATAAGAAAATTTTTTGATTTTTCAAATTATATACAGACATTCTACAAACACAAATCATGCAAACCGAAATGTACATACATGAATCGCATAGAAGTAGTAATAGATGTATTAATGATGACATATGCATCAATGACTGACATTGTCTTGTTTGACATTTTTGCACAAAAAATAAATTTTCTTATTAAACGTAATATATTCTATAATTACAATACATAAAATTTGAACAAGTCCATTTAGCAGTCTTCTTCAAATAAATGTTCAAATATTGTTTTTTTTTTTTGACCTGAAAAAGTAATTTGCTCTCTAAAATTTCTTTTTCTGAAAGGCTGCAAAGACGTGCTTGGAAAATCCGCTGTTTCAAGTATCAAATGCAGCCGGGATGATGCTGCAGGAAGAAGAAGAGAGGACCAAAGCGACACGATGGCTCATACTCTCGTCGTGCGCATACTCCCGAAGCGCCGTTGGAGACCCGCTGCTGCACCTGCGAGTCGAGGTTGCCGTAGCCGAGGATTGGCCATTCGGCAGTTGGACCTTGGCGTGCGTGCCGTGAAAATGTCGACTCCTGACTGTACTGGTGGCCGCGCATACACATAGGACGAAGGGTTGCCGGGGGAGAGAGAGTTACCTTTCGTGGCGACGGTCACCGTGCTCCAAGGCCTCCAAGGCCATTTGAAGACCTTGACGAATGTCAGCGTAGATAAAAGAAAAAGACGCGAAGGGAGATACGCGCGTCCGAAGCCCTTATCTCAGGGGGGTAGTCGCGCCACGAACTGCCACGAGGTTCACGTGCCTTTCCCCGATTCGGCGCTCCGATTAGCCGGTTCTCTGTATTCCACGCGGAATTCCATCCGAAACGATGAGGCTCCAGCGGATGCTGCTCGTCGTCGGCTATCTGATGCGCTATTACATCACCCGTTCAATAGCCGGTGAGTACGAATGCACACGTACTCGCAGGTATACGTATGTTTTCCCGGCACACACCTGCCGCCTTTGTAATTATAATTTTTAATGAGAAAATATGTTATTATTTTGTATTTATTAAACTGTAAAAAACTGTATTATTACATTTTGCTATTGTTGAATTGTATCAAATATATCATTTTTTGTTGTTACGTTTAACGCATTCTGTATTTGGAAAATATACAAATACAGACGTGCACGTGTTGAAATTTGAGAAAAGAATTTGACCGCGTGGAGCTAAATCCGACGCTCGGAAAATAAATGTGTATGCAGAATTATAACGTGTAAACGCTCACAAGTTCATATGAAATAATATTGTGAGGGTTAACTCTCCAGATTTCTCAATCTTTTTTTAAATATCTAAAAAAAATATCTCTATCATGTTTCAATGATTTTTTAAAACACATTAATTTTTAAAAATCAATATAAGCAGAATATAAGAGATATAACGAAGCGGTTAATTTGATTTAACAATTGATAGAGGAGAAGATAGATAGAGGATATTATGTCCCCTCCCCTATTTATATTTTAAACAATAACTTGATTAATAATTAATATTTAAATTTAAAACGTAGTGATTACATTCGTCAAAGTGTTGTTTATTCCATTCTAAAGTCAAAGTTACAAAATATTTTATTACTTAGAATATTATTTAGAAAAATACAACAATGCTAGAAGAAAATTTGAGAGGCTATATTATTACTACAGGGTACATGATAATGTGATCTTCCACAAAAACAGATTTCAGAAATTGGTTTTGTATAAAAAAAAACACTACTTGGTTACAAAATTAATAAAAAAGTAAAATATTGCAGAACGTTTGTACACATAATTCCTTCTGTTGATTACTAAAAATCTATAGAACGTATAACATAAACTATAAATTAACAGAATTTTAATTAAATCATTGAATAATTATTTTGATATGAAAACCTCGAGGCCGTCAACAATCAACACGCTTAGAAAAATCAACACATTAGCAAAATGCTGCGCTATTTAATGCCAAGCTATTGTTTAATTTTATTTAACTTAAAATGGGTTCAATCAAATAAAATGTTAAATAAATAACATACTTAAATATGTAATACATTCATGTGATAATAT